TTTGGAACAGGGTGTAGTTTGATACCAGGGAATGAAAGACTGGGAGAAGGCAGGGTTATCCACTAAACTAATATTTTTTGTGAATGAAAATTTAAATTGCAAAATTTAGGCTACAATAGTCAAGCTGTCTGTTATGCTACTAAGGTTTTTAGAACTGGAACTCAACTGCAGCTTGTAGAACTCCTTAATTACAATAGTGAAGAAACAGACAATCTTCAAATTATCAATACTGTAGCTTTAAGAAAAGAGAGGATTGCTGGCAATTAGAGAATCAAACGAAGTTTTAATAATTGTGATAAACTTAAGTGAAAAGCATTTAGGTAATAATTCAATAAGAAGAAATTGCTGGTTAGCAAACAATACAAAGTTCATCAATAAGTATTTCTTCAGAGATGTATTGAATAATATTCTTTAGGTTGATAGGAATAATCTTCAATAGAAATAGTATGCCGGTAGCAGAGAATATTTGCAAAGCAAGAAACAGTTCATTAATAACTGAGATTCCAGATAATAAATTGGAAGTTATACTTAAGATTAATGTGAGTTGTCCTCCAAGAGATCAGTATTAGAATCCACTTGTTTAATGGTAAAGTGTCCATTCTCCAGTAATCCTCTAGCGGATGAAGCATAATCCTTTTATCTTCAAAGGTTTAGGAAGGCTTGTGAGAGAAGCTTGTGGAGCCGGCGTCTATACCCGGAAGTAGGTCCCACAATCACCAAGCGCTTTCTCTCTGGCGTGGTCTCTCTAAGTAGTGTCAGAGAGCCGCGTCAGAAGGGGGTGGGGCCGGCTCCACATAGCGGGAATGCCGAACCCGGAAGAGATACCGCATGACAGGACCCCCCACCTAAGGAGCACACTCCGGGTGCTGCTACCTTGGTTTCTAAGGGTACCGTTTGTGAAAGGCAGAAATCAACTTCATTGCATGAATATCAGAAGAATTTTCCCAGGTGTTATCTTCAGCTCCATAACCCTTCCATTTAATAAGATATTGTAAGTTACCTCTATGAAATCTTGAGTCAAGAATTTTTTCAATTTCATATTCCATTTCACCTTGAACTTCAATGGGGTCAGGCCTTGACAATTGTTCCCTATGGAAGGGATCAGGGGGAAAAGGCTTTAGAAGGGAAACATGAAAAACAGGATGAAGTTTAAGTGAAGGAGGAAGTTTCAATTTCACAGCATTTTCATTAATAATGAATTCAATTTGAAAAGGTCCAAGGAAAAGAGGACTCAGTTTCTTTGAAGGACGGTTAGTAGAAATGTTTTTTGAAAAGAGCCAAACAGTGTCACCAATTTTATATTTAGGAGGAGCTCTCCTTCTAATATCATAATTCCGTTTATGTAAGATCATAGAACTTTCAAGGTTTTTCTTTAATTGATTAAACAATGAGGACATTTCCATATTTTGAATAGAAACCATCGGATTAGAAGTTGTCTTGGGATCATCAGGGAACAAGGAGGGATGGAATCCCATCAATAATCCGTAAGGAAGGTGATGTTCTGTTTTGGATCTTTGACAAACTGGACATGATTTAACATAAGTTTCAATGGTTTTATCTTGACGAGGCCACCAATATTGTCTAGTTGAGAGTTTAATTGTCTTCTTTATCCCTGGATGTCCAGCAAGAGGAGAATCATGAATTAATTTTAGAAATTTGTTCCGTAGTTTTGAAGGAATATCAATCCTATTTTTGCAATAAAAGATTCCATCTTTTTTGAACAATTTAGGAGTGGAAGGTAATTCAAGTTCTTTGAGAGATAATTGTTTCAGTTCATCCAATATAGTAGTTGTAAATCCAATAATTTTATTGTTTGACAATATTGAGAAGGTTTTCTCTTCTGAAGAAGGATTACGAGGAATTCTGGAAAGAGCATCAGCTTTTTTGTTATTAAACACATCAGAAAAATCTGAATATTGTTTCGGTATTAAAGTTTCTTGACTTAATGGAAGTATAGGAATCTGTGGGAGACAATTGTCCTTACAATAATCTGAGTCAAAGTTGAGAGAGAAGGGAGCCCAATGGATGAAGGGACTATGAATTTGTAACCAGTTGATACCTAAGATGATCGGAAAAAGAGGGGATTTTATAATATCAAAAACAAGAAATTCTGAATGGTTATTGTTGATAGTGGTCAAAATAGGAATAGTTTCATTTTTTATGGGACCAGAGGGGATTAAAGAACCATCAATAACTCTGATAGAGACAAAAGATGCTATTTGCAGACAAGGAATTTTATTGGCTTCAACAAACGAAGAATCTATGAATATCCCCGTAGCTCCAGAATCAATAATGGCCTCAGTCTTGATTCTTTCTTTGTCCCATTGTAAAATTAGAGGTACAGCAAACTGATGAGAGGAAGAAGAGGGAAGGGTTTTCAGAATTGAGGTATTAATTCTAGGCTTAGTTCCCTTAGAGCGTTTTAGAAGAGGACATTCTTGTAAAAGATGGTCATTAGAGGCACAATACATGCAGAGATTTAATTCTCTCCTTCTTATTTTTTCTTCAGTAGACAAAGGTCCCCTAATAAACCCAACTTCCATAGGTTCAATTGGTTGCAAGGGTTTATTAGGCATTCGCAAAGGAGGACTGGGTTTTTCCAAAGTTAATTATTGAGAACGTTCTCAGCTTTACATTCTCTGATTCTTCTATCTATACAGATAGAGAGTTGAATTAATGTATCAAGCGTTGGAGGAAGAGTGGTTCTAGATAATTCATCTTTAACTGTTTACGTAGAGCTATATCATTCCATTGGGTTTCTGAAGCCCATCTTTTGAACTCAGCTATATAATCCTCCACAGGACGATTTCTTTGTTGTAATGATCTAATAGTAAGATCAGCAGTAGCTTGTTTATTAGGGTCCTCATAAAATAATGACATTGCCTTAATAAAATTATCTAAAGAATCCAATATAGGATCTTGATTTTCCAGAAATGAATGTGCCCCTTAAATAGGAAATTATTGAACAGACCTTAATCCTGTTTGTGGGGTAAGCCCTAGGTTTTAGAGTAAACAATAATTTGCATGAATTCAAAAATTCTCTATATTTAGAGCGATCTCCATAACATTTTTCAGGGTTGCAGACAGCAGGGTCACTTGAAGAATGAGTAACTTTATTTTGCAGTTCTCTAATATAAGAAAGAAGTCTCTCATTAGCAATTTGCAAATCCTGCATGCCTTGTGTGAGAATTTCAACTCTATGGGTTAAAGAGGTAATTTGGAAATTCACTTCTGCTGGTTCCATTTTTGGGCTTGGTGATTCTGTTATGCTACTAGGGTTTTTAGAATTGGAACTCAACTGCAGCTTGTAGAAGTTGAACTCCTTAATTACAATAGTGAAGAAACGGAGAATCTTTAAATTATCAATACTGTAGCTTTAAGAAAAGAGAGGATTGCTGGCAATTAGAGAATCAAACAAAGTTTTAATAATTGTGATAAACTTAAGTGAAAAGCATATAGGTAATAATTCAATAAGAAGAAATTGCTGGTTAGCAAACAATACAAAGTTCATCAATAAGTATTTCTTCAGAGATGTATTGAATAATATTCTTTAGGTTGATAGGAATAATCTTCAATAGAAATAGTATGCAGGTAGCAGAGAATATTTGCAAAGCAAGAAACAGTTCATAGTGGTTAAGCTTGATGGGAGTTATCCTCAATATAATTAGTGTGTATGCCGCAGAGAGGATTTGAGCAAGCAAGAAACAGTTCATTAATAACTGAGATTCCAGATAATAAATTGGAAGTTATACTTAAGATTAAAGGACCACTATAGTGCCAGGAAAACATACTCGTTTTCCTGGCACTATAGTGCCCTGAGGGTGCCCCCACCCTCAGGGTCCCCCTCCCGACCGGCTCTGGAAAGGGGAAAGCGGTTTAAACTTACCTTTTTCCAGCGCTGGGCGGGGAGCTCTCCTCCTCCGATCCTCCTTCTCTCTGCCCCGTCGGCTGAATGCGCACGCGAGGCAAGAGCTGCGCGCGCATTCAGCCGGTCACATAGGAAAGCATTCTCAATGCTTTCCTATGGACGCTGGCGTGCTCTCACTGTGAAAATCACAGTGAGAAGCACGCAAGCGCCTCTAGAGGCTGTCAATGAGACAGCCACTAGAGGAAATAGGGGAAGGCTTAACCCATTCATAAACATAGCAGTTTCTCTGAAACTGCTATGTTTATTAAAAAATGGGTTAACCCTAGAAGGACCTGGCACCCAGACCACTTCATTAAGCTGAAGTGGTCTGGGTGCCTAGAGTGGTCCTTTAATGTGAGTTGTCCTCCAAAAGATCAGTATTAGAATCCACTTGTTTAATGGTAAAGTGTCCGTTCTCCAGTAATCCTCTAGCGGATGAAGCATAATCCTTTTATCTTCAAAGGTTTAGGAAGGCTTGTGAGAGAAGCTTGTGGAGCCGGCGTCTATACCCGGAACTAGGTCCCACAATCATCAAGCGCTTTCTCTCTGGCGCGGTCTCTCTAAGTAGTGGCATAGAGCCACGTCAGAAGGGGGCGGGGCCAGCTCCGCATAGCGGGAATGCCGAACCCGGAAGAGATGCCGCATGACACTGTCACTATACCCAAGTTGAATTTTTTTTCAAATCCGCTATTTTGGTTTAAATTGTGCAATTTATATATATTTTTTTTTTTTTTTTTTTAATCTTTATTTTGGTGTGCATGGTGATTAGTACATACAAGCTCTTGGTGCCCCAACAGCAATCCTCGAGCATTTTGTCTAGCATTACATTAGGAGCAATAGAGTAATGAGCACATTTTTATATATTAACAGATTCATAACAGGAACATTCTATCAGATTGTGTATAGGGTATAGTTAGTGGGCATTTAGTCACAAATGCTTACTGTCATGTTGTCTGAGATACGTGAGCATTTTGTGGCGGCTGGTGTAAGTAGTATGGTTCGTTTAACCGCTAGTGCCTCTCATGATGGGTCAGCCGTTCCTCCGTGTAGTTAAGCGTGAAATACATGTATATGCAAGCAAAAATATGCCAAGCTTACTGGTTAGCTAAGCAAATGTATAAGAGTTTAGCAAGATGAGTTTAACACTCCACAGGTACTCATACCTGTACATCAGGTTTCGGAACAGTGAGAGACAACATCTACGCCTGTTCAGTTGCCTGAGTGAACAGAGAATAATCAGCGGAGCGGCGAAGTGGTGTATTATAAGTATGTCTATACTGCCTCTGTGGTAACTGTGAGTGAGAATATATACAGTTAAGTACCTGCTGGGCTGATTAAAGAAAGGTGGAGTATATCTCTGGTCTGAGTGAGTAAATAATAAGCTGCTGCATGGCGTGCCTAACTTAGACTAGGTTCTCAGTAGCTTGGAGGCAACACTAGATGAAGTAACAAAAACCAAAAAAAAAACAAAAAAACAAACAAAGAGAAAGCATCAAACATGTGTGATTGCACTTTGAGTCTTTCCACCCCGGGGGGACCCCCATTCCAGCAAGATGATAGTCAATGGTTTTGTGCCAGGAGACCCGTTTGGGTAACATAATAATGGCAGAATGATCGCCGTGTTAGTTGTAGTGTGAGTCCCCTTGTGGTATACTTGCGGTTCCATCAAGTGCCTGTCTCGTGCAGGAGGTAAGTCCCATTAGCCTCGTTGTTGTTCATGTGCGTCCTGCGCGGTGATCCTAGAGGTTCAGTATGCGGAGCTATGTAGCTGGAGCACTGTCTCCTCTTTGAGTTGAGCATTTGGCGGTGTTTAGGCAGTAGTTTGCAGGTGTCGACCTCCGTCGGTTGCTCGTGGAGCTGTTTGCGTTGGCTTGAGGTGGCTCCGGCTTCTCCGCCCGTTTGGCTTGGCTCTGGGTGGGTCTTTGCAGGTGCCCGGCGGTTCCCATGTGGCTTGTGCCGGCCTGCTGCCACTGTGAGGTGGGTGCGTCCGTCTTCCGTCTGTCGCGGGTGACTCGACATGCGGTCTCCGCCATTTTGATTGCGGCCTGCGAGGTTTGGGGCCCCCCTGCCACAGCTGATGTTGCTGCACACTGACAGGGTTAGGGTGGGGACCGGGATCACCCCCCCGGTCCAGAGGGGGGGGACAGGGCCAGTTCCACCTAGCCTTGTGCTTCTCCCATACCGCTGGTGGGCAGGATAGCAGGGCAGCGGCCGTCCACCCCACTCACCGCCCGAGTGGTCTCCATCGTGGGTGACGGAGAGCACCCCTCCAAGGGACTAGAACTTTGCAGCAAGCCTCTCCTCGGAACCAGGGTGGCTTCTTGCACTGGGTCGCTGCTGTCAGGTAGGTATTGTCGTTTTTGTGCTGAAAAACTGGGAGAGATTGCAGGAGCCACACTATTTTGCGACTGCTCAGCATGGCGGTCCGGCCCCGCCCCCTGCAATTTATATTTTCACTTTTTAAAATTACAAATATTAGTAAAAACCGTTTGGCAAATGTCCAACCCTTCTTACATTTTTATATATATATATATGTGTGTGTGTGTGTAATTTCCAGGTGTATTATGCATGAATATATTATATATTATAAACATAATAATTAATAAAATTATGCTTGTGATATATATATATACACGCACACATATATATATATATATATATATATCTATATATATATATAGTGATGTAATACCATTTGTGCATATGTATGTATGCATAATACTTCCACAAATCACATAGATAAAGCAAAGCTATATATATTTTTTTTAATTCAACATGTCATTTAAAAAACCCCCACAAAAAAACATATATAGACATACAAACAGATTTTTGATTAATGGATACTCACTGGCACATACTGATGCCCAGACATACACACTCACATACACTAATGCACAATGATCCATACTGACACACACATTGACACACACACCCTAAGAATCTTGGAAGTGAACATAAAATACCTGTCACTGCTCACTGAGCCCACCTTGCTCCTTGATCTGTGCTCAGCTCTTGGCTGAAAACGTCTGTAACAAAGAGGACAGTTCACTAGCATATGAAGACTGTGGATTAATATTCAGTTCGGAACATTACAAGCATTCCCCATACAAATGCTTGCTACTAACTAACAGGCCACCCTGACTCTAAATTGAGACTCATTTACCTACCTGCTTTATGGGAATATTCGTGCAAATAAACGCACGAACGCTATATGAACCGTATGCATGGCCGCCATTTCTGGTCTTCCACGTGTTCGCGCCCATTTTAACTCCCGAACAGCGGTGTTTTGCCGCCAAGTGTCTGGAACTAAAATCGGACACTCGGATAGGCGAACACCGCTGAGACCTCCATACCTCCGGGAAATCGTGCTACAGTTACCGAACGACAGGGCGTTTGGTAGAAAGACTTAACAACTTATGGGGATTTCAGCGAACACCAGATTACGTACGGATGGCCAGCCGTTCGGGGTTTTTTACGCACGAACTAAGACCGAGGGCCAGGATTCATGGAACTGTTTTCGGCTACTTTGCCCGTGCGGTCGGTCAAAACTTTCAAGTCCAATATCTCCCGAACGGCTGAACCGAATGAGCTGATTTTTGGATATAGTAGTCCCCCAGAAATAAGCTATCCAAGGATTTGGGGTACGTCGAAACTTTGGGGAAAAACATGTTCATTTTTTATTATGTTATGTGGTTATCTAAGGGGAGGAGATGTACAGGATGTATATTGTGTTCATTGGCTGTACTGTTAATTATGTGGGTGTCTCCCTTGCATGGGCAGAATCATATAAAAGAGAGTGTCTGTCATTAAAGCTTTAGTTCTTCTTGACCCTTCAAAACATAGCCTCGTCTCGTTCTTGAAAGGGGAATCTCTGCCGCATAATCACTAAGCTCTTTTTAGAGCTGTACCTGACTTCTACTTCTGATCCAGCAGAGGGGAATAAGCAACTCCATCACTTTACAGTGACTTGTCGGGAAGAAAAGGATGTCCCCAACGGCTGATACCCTCACTCTAGCTGGGAAGCCGTTACAATGTCCATTCAGCAGAAGGGGAATCCGAAGCACAGAGGTAAATTGTACATTGTGTCCTAAACGGATAGCAAGCCAATGACAGGTAAAAGGAAGGGAAGCTCATTCCCAGCAGCCTGCCTGCAGCTCTATGTCTGCCCCCCTGCTCACTCCTCTCCCTGCCTGCCAGCACTTTACCCACAGGAAGCAAAACGTCAGAAGACCCTCGTGGGCTGCCCTGCTCTGCCTGATTACATGCTTCCTGTGTGTGAAGGCTGTCAGGCAGGCACCAGGACTACCTCCCTCCCCTGCTCCTTATGCTTCACTCGCGAGCAGCATTGAAAGTTTACTTTGGAGTGCCTGCTGCTCGTGAGTGCATAAAGTACAGTGCTGATCTAGAGTTGAGAGGGGACCTTCACTCCTCAGCTCATCAAGCCCCCTACATGACTGTGTGTACTGGGTGGGGGGAGGAGAAGATTCTGCACTGTGTGGCCCCAAGTGCTCCTACCCACCAGGAAATTTCCCGATATCCCGGTGGGCCAGTCCGGCCCTGTCCCAAATACTGGACCTCTGCCATACCAAGGTGGCATTTGTCTGGCTTCAGGGTCAGGCCTGTGGCTTGAATCTGATCCACTACTGTCCCTACATGAACTAATGCCTCGTTTCCACTGAGCGGATCGGTTCGGTACAGTACACTATTTTGAGTGTTTACGTTATGAAAGTGGCCCATACAACTGAACCGTACCGCACCATTCAGGGTCCTGCTTCAGATGTAGGGCCATAAGAAATGGTACAGTACGGTTAGGGCGGAGCTACTATACAATCCATTGATTGGATGACATGCTAGGCATTTTTTCTAAACCCCGCATGGCCCCTGAAGGTCTGACTTGCAGTGGAAACGCTCACCTGAATAGGCTGGACCATTCTAAACCTTCCAAACTGTACCGACCCGAAACGATACGCTCAGTGGAAACGAGGCATAAGTTCCTCCCAGGACTCACTGTAGATCGCAATGTCATCCAGGTACGCACAGACAAAATCCTGGAAGCCATCGAGGAGCCTATCCACCAAGTGCTGAAAGGTTGCTGGGGCATTCTTCATCCCGAATGGCATAACCTTAAGCTGGTACGAGCCAAACAGGGTGATGAAGGCCGACTTGGGGATAGCCTATTCGGCCAGGGGAATCTGCCAGTAACCCTAGCAGAGATCGATGGTGGTCAGATAACGTCCCCTGGCTATGCAATCTAATAGTTCATCTACGCGGGGCATCAGGTAGGCATCGGTCATGGTCCTGTCATTCAGTCGTCAGTAGTCCACGCAGAACCAAGTGGTTCCATCTTTCTTGGGCACGAGGACTACCGGTGAAGCCAACGGACTATCTGAGGGTTCAATGACTCCTAGTTTTAACATTTCCTGTATTTCCCCCCACTATTCCATCTTGGACTGCTTCAGGAATACGGTAGGGGGGGCTGCCTGAGTGGGGCTTGCCCTGGGGTCTCCACTCTATGAGTGGCTAGAGTGGTGAACCTGGGCTCGTCTGTCGCTTGCCTTCTAGTAACTGACGGACCTGATCACTCTCTACAGATGTAGCTTTACCTGGCTGAGGAGGTCAATCTGAGGATACCTCTCCAATAACTCAGGTAGGGGAAGACTGTTGGGGTCGTCTGTGGCTGAGGCACATACAGCAGCTATGTTTTCTTGCCTTTCCTGATACTCCTTTAACATATTAATGTGAAAGGATCTTCGGATCCTTTCGCCAGCACAACTGGCAATTACATACGTGGTGTCACATAGTTGCTCCACCACTCTGTAAGTGTCATGCGGTATCTCTTCCGGGTTCGGCATCCCCGCCCCCTTCTGACGCAGCTCTCTGACACTACTTAGAGAGACCACGCCAGAGAGAAAGCGCTTGGTGATTGTGGGACTTACTTCCGGGTATAGACGCCGGCTCCACAAGCTTCTCGCACAAGCCTTCCTAAACCTTTGAAGATAAAAGGATTATGCTTCATCCGCTAGAGGATTACTGGAGAACGGACACTTTACCATTTAACAAGTAGACTCTAATACTGATCTCTTGGAGGACAACTCACATTAACCTTAAGTATAACTTCCAATTCATTATCTGGAATCTCAGTTATTAATGAACTGGTTCTTGCTTGCTCAAATCCTCTCTGCGGCATACACACTAATTGTATTGAGGATAACTCCCATCAAGCTTAACCACTATGAACTGTTTCTTGCTTTGCAAATATTCTCTGCTACCTGCATACTATTTCTATTGAAGATTATTCCTAACAACCTAAAGAATATTATTCAATACATCTCTGAGGAAATACTTATTGATGAACTTTGTATTGTTTGCTATAACCAGCAATTTCTTCTTATTGAATTATTACCTTTATGCTTTTCCCTGTGAGACCTTGGCAATCTTTTTCTATGGATTTTATGGTGGAACTCCCTCCTTCTCAGAAATATACCACTATACTCGTTGTTGTAGACCGTTTCACGAAAATGTCTCATTTTATTCCCTTAAAAAAGTTACCCTCATCCTCTGAACTTTCCAAAGTCTTCATAGACAATATAATCAAATTACATGGATTCCCTGAAGAAATAATCTCAGACAGAGGTTCCCAATTCACTTCACGATTCTGGAAGGAAATGTGTTCTTCACTTCGAATCCAACGTAAACTCTCTTCTGCATACCATCCTCAAACCAATGGCCAAACCGAACGAGTCAATCAATGTCTGGAACAATACCTTCGTTGTTACTGCACGTATTTACAAGATGATTGGAGTAATTGGTTACCCATGGCTGAATTTGCCTATAATAATTCCATACATTCAAGCAGCAAAATGACTCCATTCTTTTCAAATTATAGATTCCATCCCTTCTTGTTCCCTGATGATCCCAAGGCAACTTCTAATCCGATGGTTTCTATTCAAAACATGGAAATGTCCTCATTGTTCAATCAATTAAAGAAAAACCTTGAAAGTTCTATGATCTTTCATAAACAGAATTATGATATTAAAAGGAGAGCTCCTCCTAAATATAAAATTGGTGACACTGTTTGGCTCTCTTCAAAAAACATTTCTACTAGCCTTCCTTCAAAGAAACTGAGTCCTCTTTTCCTTGGACCTTTTCAAATTGAATCCATTATTAATGAAAATGCTGTGAAATTGAAACTTCCTCCTTCACTTAAACTTCATCCTGTTTTTCATGTTTCCCTTCTAAAGCCTTTTCCCCCTGATCCCTTCCATAGGGAACAATTGTCAAGGCCTGACCCCATTGAAGTTCAAGGTGAAATGGAATATGAAATTGAAAATATTCTTGACTCAAGATTTCATAGAGGTAACTTACAATATCTTATTAAATGGAAGGGTTATGGAGCTGAAGATAACACCTGGGAAAATTCTTCTGATATTCATGCAATG